GGGGAGGAAGAGGGAGAAGATCCCAGCAGCCCTCTGCGCTGAGGCGGTCTAATGCGATTCCTCTCCCCGCCTCCTTCTCCCCTGGGCCTGGAAAGGGGAGGGGTCGCCACCAGTGAGAACGCCTAAGATGGCCCAGTAGGGCGCCAAGATGACCAACAAAAACTCAAGGTGGCCTCCGAAATGGCACGAGATATCTGAAGATTGCTGCAGATGTCCTCCAACATGTTTCCAAGAGGCCGCAAGGCGTCTCCAAGTGGTCACATAGTCTCTCAACGATGCCCCCAAGAGGCTACGTTCCCTTCAAAACCGAATGACACCCAGCGATGCGTACACTCTCTCCTCTTCGCTTGGTCTCCACCTGGCCCAAGAGAGCCCCAAGAGGGGCCCAAGAGGGCTCCACTACGGGCCGAAGAGCGGTTCAAGAGTGCCCCAAAATGGTCCCAGGCGGCGATCTCTGGGCCTTCATAAGGGCGAAGCTGCCAAACATCCCTCCTCGCCCAAAGTTCAAATCTTTGAGCACCAGATGGAATTTGAATACTTCCGATACCTCGGGGGAGTCCTTGGGAGGCTTCTGGGCCAGCCTGGTTTCAAGATGGCTGCATAAGCTCAAGACGGCCTCCCAAACAGTCCAGGATGCTTCCAGCAGAAGGGCCTCGAGAGACCAAACACGTCGTCTCCCCTCAGGTTCTCAATGGTGTTCGGGTTCTGGCCTTTTCGGTCCGAGGAGCGCCCAAGACGACCCAGGGGCCCCCCAAGATTACCCCAAGACTGTGCCGTCGGGGCGTTGACCTAAGGAACCCTGAATTAGGATCGAGGCCCCCTTTTTCCCATGAATTGAACTTCGTTTCCACAGAAAACCTCAGGAACACCTGAGGCAAACTGTAAAACAATGAAGGAACAGCGAGCCCCTCCCCACCGAAAAGGGTTCCTTCTTCAGCGCCTCGACTGTACGACAGGTCCCCAAGACGACCAAGTGGGTCCTCCAGACAGCCCCAAGACGGCCCCACGGGGCCTCAAGAGAACCCCAAGACGGCCCAGAGAGGCCCCTGCGACGGCCTCCGAATGCGACAAAGGGGAGCCCAAGAGCGCCCTAAGACGGGCGACGACATCCGCATGACGGCCTCCCAAGAGGGCACCAGGAGGCCAACAAGAAGGCTCAAAAGGTTGATGAACAGCACCAAGCCAGCCCCAAGACGACCCAGAACGACATTCCCCAATGTCCCCCCGTGGTTCCCCCATCGACTGACTGGGTTGACGCGCAGTCAACCAGCATGGCCTGACTGGCAGCCGGCATTTCACCACGCAGGCGTCTCCAAAAGGCAGGGGTCGGTCGGCTGTGACTCATAGGAATCGTCTTCGATATCTAACCGTGTTGGGTCACGAGTGGGGTTCCGTGCGTCGGGGTGCGGTCAGTCGAACACCAAAGCGTCAGGACACCTCGACGGGCTAGTTCCCAATCGAATCGGCTTCAGCATGGCGCCCTCCCCTACTCTTTCTGCTCTTCCTCCTCCTCCTCCTCTTCCTCCTCCTCCTCCCCTCAGCATGGCGCTGCGGCGGCAGCTGCCTCGGGACAGCCCGCCAAGATGATGGCGGGATTCGCCCCCTCCTCCTCCTCCTCCTCCTCCTCCTCCACTACCACCTCCACCTCCTCCTCTTGAGAAAATAAGAAGCGGCATACATATCAACTTTCGTAGCTCCGCGTGAATGTCTTGGATCGGCGCCAGAGTCCCCTGGGGGCGCCTCTGGCGCCGCCCTGAGGGGCCCATCCAAGAAATCCGCGCGGACCTCCGAAAGTTGATTTTGCTCCTCGACTCATGCCTCCGTCTTCCTTCCTTTTGGGGGGAGGCATGAGTATGAGCTGTGCTCAATACTCACAACATGCTCGAAGAGATATAGGCGGGTGGTGGAGGAGCAAGAAGGACGAGGAACGAGTAAGGAGGAGCCGACGCCCACACCTCAGAAGCCTCCCAGACGCCGAACGCGACGATGACGACGAGCACGAGCGCCAGCACGGAGGAGACCGTCAGCGGCACTGAGGGACGTGCCGATGCGGCAGCGGGGCCAATCACGAAGGAATCCACTGCTGGAGGCGGGGCGACGAGCAGCAGAAGAAGGAGGAGCAGCAAAAAGAGGAGGAGGAGGTGGAGGAGGAGGAGGAGGAGGAGGAGGGGGAGGAGGAGGAGGAGGAGGAGGGGGCGGGGGAGGAGGAGGAGGAGGGGGAGGAGAAGGAGGAGAGCAGCAGCAGCAGCAGCAGCAGCAGCAGCAGCAGCAGCAGCAATATGGGCGAGGAACAGGGGGACAGGCACGGTGGTCGCCGACGCCGTCTCCGCTTCCGCCGCCGCCGCCGCCGCCGCCATCATCGTTGTCGTCGTCGTCGCCGGCCCCGTTGCCGCGGAGCCCCCGCCCGCCTGGCAGGCCTCGGCGGGCGCCTGGCGGTCGAAGCCCCGCGCGGAGCCCGGGTCGAAGAGCGGCTCTGGCGTCCGCTCGACACCCTGGGGCGCTCCTGGTGGAGGGGGTGTCCGGGAGGGAGGGGATACAAACGAGGAGGGAGGGAGATGAGGATGAGGATTGGGATGGGGATGAGGATGGGGATGGGGATGAGGATCAGAATACTGATTATGATTATGATTCTGAGGGCGATGGTGATGCTGATGCTGCTGCTGATGATGGTGATGGTGATGGTGATGGGATGATTGATGATGATGATGATGATGATGATGTGATGATGATGATGATGATGATGAGATGATGATGCTGATGCTGATGCTGATGATGATGATGATGATGATGATGATGATGATGATGATGATGATGATGATGATGATGATGATGATGCTGATGACATTGATGATGCTGCTACTGGTGATGATGCTGCTGCTGCTGATGATGACGAAACTGATAATGATGATGCTGCTGATGATGATGAGGAAGAGGAGGAGCAGGAAAAGGAGGAGGAGGAGAATGAGGACGAGAAGGAGCAGGAGGAGGATGAGGAGGAGGAGGAGAAGGAGGAGGAGGAGGAGGAGGAGGAGGAGGAGGAGGAGGAGGAACAGCAGGGGCAGGAGCGGGAGCAGGAGGAGGGGATGAACAGGAAGGAGAAGGATGAGGAGGGGGAGGCGGAGGGAAGAGGAGGAGGAGGCAGCAGGAGGAGGAGGAGGAGGGAGGCGAAGGAGGAGGAGGAGGAGGAGGAGGAGGAGGAGGAGGAGGAGGAGGAGGAGGAGGAGGAGGAGGAGAAGGAGGAGGAGGAGGAGGAGGAGGAGAAGGGGAGGACGAGGAGGACGAGGAGGAGGAGGAGGAGGAGGAGGAGGAGGAGGAGGAGGAGGAGGATGAGGGAGGAGGAGGAGGGGGGAGGAGGGGGGGAAAGGGATAGAGGAGCGAAAAGGAGGAGGGAGGAGGGAAGAGAAGGGAGTGAGGGGGAGGAGAGGAGAAGGAGGAGGAGGGGGCAGGAGGAGGAGGAGGAGGAGGAGGAGGAGGAGGAGGAGGAGGAAGGATGCTGGCGGATACTGGCATGAAGTTCGGGTGGATGGTCCCTGAAATCAGGGTGGCTGTGATGATCGCCCATCCTGAAGTGGTACCGATTTGCCAGTACGTTTTAAGCGAGAGCGTGAAGTCCCACTTTGGGCGGATGGGGGGGAGAGAGGGAGAGGAGGCGGAGGAAGAGGGAGGAGGGGTCACATGCGTTGATCGGAAGCGTCGGTAGTCCGCACTGGATGGGCCTGCAGTCCATCGCAAGGCCTGCGCATTAGACCGCGGGCTGGCTGTCTTCGCTGGCACGAGAAAGGATGACGGGGGAACGACTCTGACCACCAGGCGGAGGCCCGAGGAGGTCCGAGGAGGAGGAGGAGGAGGAGAAGCGAACGTCACTGGGAAGAGGTGTCTCCTCACCTACCCGCCTTGCGCGCGCCCGCCTCGGAGCCTCTCAAGGCCTCGGTGTCGACGTCCGCGTGGCCGTTGGTGAAGGTGAAGGCGTCCGCGGGGCCCAGCGTGAGCAGGGGGTCCGCAGAGCCCACGTCAAGAGCTTCTGTCTCCGCGCCCGATGGTGCAGCAGAGACGATGGCAGCGGGGCCCACCGTCGAGAGGTCGGAAGTGGCAGCCCTCACCGCCCGCATCGTCACCTCGCCGACCAGGGAGGACGGCAGCACGACACCAAAACGCTCATCAGGCAGGTGAAGGTCCATCTCGATGGCGACAGCCCTCCGCAGGAACAGCGGTGGAGACGGAGCTAGCCCAGAACAGGTGCCCCGCCACCGCCGCTCGGAGACGAACCTCGCCTCAGTGATCGCGTCGGCGACAAGTGGGAAATCCTACTGGTAGGCCTGGAGAGCATCCCGCATGGTTGTCCGGCGCCTCTTGGGGAGCGAGGCTCCGGCAAGTACGCGACACAACGTCATCCATGAACTGCTGCTTGAACTGTTTCCTGGCATTCTCGAGGCAATTGCTATGCGCCTGAACTGAAGCAGAAACGGCAATGCAGGCACCATCCCCAACAGCAGGAAGATCCTCGCCAACATCATTTGCACTCACTTGCGTGCACGTCGCAGCTCCCAGCAGCCACCAAGTCCGCCCTCCAAGGCCCAGAAGAAGGAGGCGGCACGCTCGAGGCTCTTGGAGCTGGCGACCAGCCATGTACCAGAGGAGCGACGGGGTGGCGCGAACGGCTCCAAGCACTCGTAGAGCGCGTGCGGCGCCGAGACGCCCGCACGTGGCGATGCCCGACCACCTGACCAAGTTCCAATGTGTCGCGGCCAGCATTACGGAGATCACGATCAGCGAACCCAGCAGCACCTCGAGGTTCGGCTCCAGTGACGCGCGCAACGCGATCGTGGAGCACTGCAGCAGCAGGAACAGGCGGCAGGACACCCGAGCCTGAAGGCTCGTCGGCACGCCCGCGGGGTCCCGCACGGGGATCCTGCAGAGCCGACCGCAGACCACGACTATCCACACCCGAGTCTTGAATGGCATCCTCGCGAAGGACATCCCACAATCGGCATCAACACTGTGAAGAGCACACACATCAACATTGGCATCCGCTCCAGCGCGAGCTTTGGCAGCTGCCGCTGCAGAGGAACTCGCCCGGCCGCCAGACAGGGTATCAGGATCAGCAGACAGATGGCCGTCGGCGGCAACACCACGTATGGGAAGATAACCGCCACCAGGATGCGCGGCGGGCCACTCACGCGCAACACGCTTCTCAAACTTGGAGAGCTCGCACTCGAAACCAAGGTCGTAGGGGAACTCGCCTGGCGTGCCCCGTGGCATCGGCGCCTGCAGCCGACGCACCTGCTCCGACAGGGCCCTCGAACACAGGGCAGCAGACGACGGGATTCGCCATGACGCGGCAAAGCGCGTTCAGCGCGTTCAGGAGTTGAGCCAAGCACGGGATGAGGAAGTCGGTCGAGCACGGACCGTCTGCAGTCTGCGTGGGGGAGTCGATGGGGAGCGCCGTCTCGTCGCAAGGAGCCTGGCGGAGGAGAATCCTCGCGCATGGGCGCCGTGGAGAGGAGGGGGAGGAGGAGGAGGAGGAGGAGGAGGAGGAGGAGGAGGACACGCAGTTGACCATTGGTCAGTCTAAAAAGGGGGTAGCCTGCCCTTCGATTAAGGGAGGCAGAAAAGGCAGGGAAGCTAAACTTCCCCTCTCGTGAATTTGGCAAGATAGGCCGACCCTGTCGACGTGGCCTTCTTGCATTCTTTGAAGAGATTATGACCCGCTCTTGTGGCGTGTGAGCCGCAGGTCAGGCATATGTAGGTACCCTTGGCAGACATGACCATATCATGAGACGGGTCAACATACCTGGCACCGATGTACACATTCTGGAGAGACTTCGCTCCCTCATATCCTGTACGGGGTTTCGCAGGAACACACGGGGAGGCCAGAAACTCCTGGGACGGAATATTGCCGTGCGAGTTAACAGAAATGACCGAACAGCAACTATTACAATAGAGCCTAGAGTCAGGACCTTCTCCTACAGGAATCATATTGTGCGCCGACTCCCTAAGCTGCTTGGCTAATTTGGGGCGAGGGTTGAAGGCTCGAGGAGGAGGGGGAGGAACGGCTGGTTTCGGCTTGGCTTTGGCTTTCTTACGAGCTCTAGGGGCCTGGGGATTGTCTCCAGAGGCCTCCGAAAATCTCGAGAGGAAAACTTCACAAGCTCGAATTCTCACAGCACGCGTCAGGGCCTCAGAAATCTGGACCGCCTCCACCTCCCCCGCCTGCAGCTGTATGTTCTTGGCCGTGTGCTCGGCCAACTCATCAGCTGCCTTATTCCCAACCCAAGCAAAGACAAGCTCCTTTTTCTCTGCAGCCTGCTCGGGAGTCATGTGCGACTCGATCTTGATGATAACGGTCGGCTTCTCTCGAAGAAGCCGCTGAATTCGACGCCACTCGTTCCTAAATCCAGCAGGGAAGAAATCCAAGAGGACCTTATTGACGTTTTTCTGGACATATGACGAGTCCGTGACGAAGACAAGCAGTCGGCCCACAGGGGCCTCCTCCAGGAACCTCAAGAGCGCTATCATCTCGCCGTGGTTGATAGTCTGGGGTCCCCATGTGGCTCCCGAGGAAACCCTTGACAAGGCCAGAGACGGAGCTGGGTTTCCTAAATCGAACTCCTCGAAGACGACATAAGCCCAAGACACTCTCCTGAATCTGGCCTGATCCGAGTATTTACCCCCCGAGGCATCACCTGCACCGATGATCAGGTCTGTGCCGTCGGGAAAGAAGCCGTGGCTGTGCACAAAAATGTCCGCCTCGTCGGGCGGTAGCGAAACGTGTGTCCACGAAGAAGGAGTGAGGCCTCTAAGCCACACTGAAGGCTGTGAATCCACCTGGGTGCGAGCACGGTGCACATATGCCTCGATGCTGGTGGTCGAGGGCAAGGCGTCGTTCGCGGAACATTCCCATGTTCGGTGAAAGGTAGACTCTGGTCGTCCACAATCACAGCGATCACAAACAACAGAAAAATCAGGCGGGTTGATGATGCTTTGAACTCTCTCTCTAGCCCACTGACCACCACAGCACACGTTGACTAAAGCTCCTGCCCACTTAAGCTGGTCTTTATCTCTAGCTCGTCGTAGCTGCTGTCGTACATCAGTTAGGTCTACTCCGTTAGCAACATCCGCGCTCTCATAATGCTTTGCTGCTCGCTTCCAAAGAACCCGACGAACTGAATCGGCTAGGTCTTGACGGATATCATCTAGATCTAGTGGACCTGCTTCAAGGACCTCTGGAGTAGCCTGATAGACGTTCCCAAGATCAGAAACCCAATGCCAAGGTCCAATGGGGTCCCAGTTGATGTCCAAAAGGGTGTTCACTACAGCTCTGGTGGGGCCTGTGATTCTGCGCCAACGATGCTTAGGAATCTCTCTAGCCTTAGCCGCGTGCTGCGACCAGTCCCGTGCTGCAAACGCTCGTGCTTCAGCTCCTGACGCAAGAATGGCCATCCAGCTGTCGAGCATCTTAAAAACCTGCGAGATTGCTGGATCTTGATCTCCAAGCTCCAG